CATTATTTCCAGGTTTTTGCTACGATGCAACAGGGATGCTCTAAACATCTTTGTACAGGTTTCCAGGTGGAGGTATATAGGACATTCTCTTAGGCACGTACCTAGAAGAATTGCTGGATGGTAGTCTATGCATATGTTCCAGTTTACAAGATAAAACCAAACTGATTTCCAAAACACAGAGGCATTTGCAGTCGATTTTTGATATGGTATAAGGAGGTGCTCAGTTTTTCATCTGTTTCCTTATGTACAGCCTTGGTCTAACTCCATTTGTTTAAAAGCCTTTTTCCCCAAATGATTTGGTGTGCTACCTCTTTTATATATCAAAGTTCCACATATGTGTGGGTGTTTCTTGCAATCTGTATTTCACTGATCGATTTTTCTGTCCCTCCACTGAGATATAATTGCTATAGCTTTAAAGCAAGCTTGGATATTTGGTAGTGTCTGAGATATCTTGGACCCTTTGGCCTTCCATAATAATTTTAGAATCTGCTCTTCCTCTCATGAACATGTATATCTCTTTATCTATTTAGTTCTTTAATGCATTTCAGTGATGTCTGTAGATTTCCCAAGATGTCTCTCACATTTTTTGTCAGGTTTAATTCTGTATCTTTGATTTTTGTTGTTGTTGCTATTTCAAAGAGAAGCTTCTTTTTCATTAAATTTCCTAAACTGTTCCTGGTGTATAAGAATGAGTATCCTCCTTGGTAACTTCTTTCACTATTTCTAATAAATTGTCTGTAGATTCTTTCGGGCTTTCTATGTTAATGATAATATTGCCTTCAAATAATATTTATTTTTTATTCTCAGTTCTTATAGTATTATTTTCTATTTCTTGTCTTATTTTGATAGTAGAAGTGGGGATAATGGGCATCTTCATCTGTTTTCTATTTTTCCCAATTTAGTGTGGTGTTCACGGGATGGTATGTTGCTGTTCTTTAGATACACTTTATTATTGTAATTTACTGAGGGTTTCGTTAACTTTTTTTCTGGGTCTATGAAAAAGGTCCTATGGCTTTTCTCCTTTAATCTGTTAACATGGTGAATTACATTGGCAGATTTTATAACCCTGAACCAGCTGTACATTCCTGGGATGTAACCAAGTTATTCATTGAATATTATCACTTTATGTATTACTGAATCAAAACTATTAGTATTTGGTTTAGGATAGTTTGCGTTGATGATCAGGAGAGAAATGGGCTTGCTTCTCCTCCTTTGTCTGGCTTGGTATTCAAGTCCATCCAAGGCACTCACTCATACCTAGGCTTCTCTGGTGATGACATTCTCCCACATAAGAGATTTTTCCTCTTTCCTGTTCACTATGTACAGTTTACATAATTATGAAAAATGAGCCACTTCATCAAATTTTCCTAAGCTTGTTTTTGAAAAAGCAACTTCTAAGCTATTACCAAGCAAGGAAGAGAGGTATAGTAATCATTTTTCTTTTTTAGTGGCAGCTAGAAATTAGAGCTTTCTGTGGGAGGAATTTAGTAGTAACTTTCAATGCTGGTTTCTTTATTTTGTCTTTCAAGCAGGTAATTCTTCAGTAAGAGTGAGTGACTCTTTTAAAGAAGTTAAGGCAGTAATTTTTTATGATGTTAATGATGGTTGGAAATAATATCCCATTCTCAATTTGTGACATATTCGAGGAAACACACCTCTATTTCATTGCTTTTCTCTGATTTTTCAAGGGTTATAATAGTTGAACTCTAAGTTCACAATAAGATCATTAGAATCATAAGTCAAACAATGTGAAACTGGACCACTTGATGCAAGATTTCTTGATTTCTTGATGCAAGACCTCTGGAATTGCAAAGTAACCAAATTCAATATTTTACCTACTTAGTAGAATTTGGGTGCCAGAAAAGTACTTTGCAATTTTTCTCACTGAAGGTCATGGAATTTTTGAATATTCTCCAGTGGAGATCAAGCCAGGTTATAATTCACATAACTTTAGGTCAGTTTCGTGAGCAGAAAAATTCCCATCTATAAAAAAGTAGGAAGTCTCCTCCAAGGAATTAGAACCTCTTACATTTCAGCAAAAAGAGATTAAAAGCTATTTTTGTGGAATGGTTCTGGAACTTCATGTAGTAAAAAAGTTTAGCTCAAGCATTTTTTTCTGGATTGGTTTTATCAACCAAATAATTTTTTTTGTTTTATGTTTTTTTCTTTTCCTGCTTATTTAAATTTAGCTGATTGTTTGAATTAATCAAATCTACCTTTTGTTTTGGTATTTTGAGAATCAATAATTCCTGAATGTATTTCATGGGATGATGCTGGTCCTGTGAGATATTCATTCATTCATTCATTCATTTATTCATTCAGTGCTTATTTATTGAGTACCTGCTATACGTCAGAGATAGTTGCTGGGGATAAAGAGGCAAATAAAACAGACAAGATCTCTGCTCACACAGTTTACATTCTAGTGAAGGAAAGGAGAAATGAGCTAATAAACTGGTAATTCTGTAATATCATGTAGTAAATAGTACTCTGAAGAAAAATAAGGTAAGGTAAAGGGCTAAAGAATAGAGGAGATTACTATTTTAGAAATGATGTGTTACATAAAATGGTAAAAATGTCCTGATAGTGTGATATCTGAACAGAGATCAGAACAAGGTCAGTGAGAAAGGCTGAGAGATATCTGGGGAAAATGGTCCAGGCAAAACAATAGCAGTGGGAAGAGCCCAAAAGGGCAAAAGAGTGCTTGGCATATTCCAGACATGGCAAGGAAGTCGGTGTGGCCCAGGGAGGCAAATGTGACACAGATATTGATAGAAGTGAGAGACCAGATCATGTAGGACTTTATGGACCTTGGCCAGAACTGTGATTTCCATGCTGAGTTGATGTGAAGCCATTGGACATTGCTGAGCAAAAGGAGGGTGACATATTTGATTTGTGCTTTACAAAAGATCATTTTGATTGCTAAGTGGAAAAATGTATGGCAGGTTGGGAGGGGAGGTAGGATATTACAGTATTTTTTTCTTTAGGATCCTATAGTCAAACAAGTTTTTGGAAACACTATATTAAACAAAGGTAAGTATTAAGGGATTTTTTTTTTTTGTAGAGCCTTAATATCTTGATATATCTTGTGTATCTCAAACAGTGTGATGGAATATGGAATTCCCAACTTTCACCACGAAAATATTATTTTTAGGGACCCTCTTCAGAGATTAGTGTTCACAGACCTCATGTAGGGTGTTGCTGATGCCGACGCCACCTAAATAAATCATGTGTCTTTTTTTTTTTTTTTTAAAGATTTTACTTATTTATTTGACAGAGACAGAGACAGCGAGAGTAGGAACACAAGCAGGGGGAATGGGAGAGGGGGAAGCAGGCTTCCCGCAGAGCAGGGAGCCCCATGTGGGACTCGATCCCAGGACCCTGGGATCATGACCTGAGCCGAAGGCAGACGCCTAATGACTGAGCCACCCAGCACCCTCATCTGTCTTTTGAGAAACATAAACACTTTCAAACAGAGCTGAGAAGGAAGCTCTCAGAGTGTCTCATAATTTCTTCTGCGACCTTAATTCCTGACCCTAGTGAGATTGTTTCCTGTTTTTTAGCAAGGCATTGTGAGAGTAGATTTTTTCAGAATTCTATGTTGAGAATCAGGGCACTGAGTATAATTCTAAATCCCTACAGTCCTAGTCTATGCCTTTTGGTGTCCAGCTTTTGATTAAATACCCACATTTCTCCACCAGAGGAAATAGTGCATAGAAGATTCTTGTACATCAGTGGAAAGACAAGTCTGCCTTCTTATGGAATGGCTAGTTTTTAATGGGCAGGAGAACCCTGGATTTGTCAAGAGAAATGTTATACCCTTTTGGGTAGGCTGTTAACTCAGAAACAAAGTTATTCATGCTAGGAAGCATGCTCATTATTTTAAAAGTAGTTCTTTAACTAATGGAAACAGCGAGTCATGGAAACCTTAGATTTTTCTTACCTCCGGAACATGATATGTGTGTCTCTTAATTATCTATGGAAACAAATTCAACACATAACTCTGTCATGATTCATCACATTTGAATGTCTCTGAAAAGATACTGAAAAAATTTCTACCAATTTTCCCTATAACTTTGCTAAATTAAAATGTTTTAAAGGTTAACTGTCAAATCTACGGGTGGGAGGAGCTTTCAAAAGGTTGAGTTTCCAAACTAAATAATGGGTCTTTATCCTATCTAAAACCATTTGCTTAAGGTGGTTTTGGGTTTGCTTTGTAGAAGGTTTGGTCACCTGAGAAAAAAAAGGGGAGAATAGATGTACAACAGGATAGAGTGAAATAACCCACATCCTCGGGCCCAATGAGGCTCCTTTCCTTAGGACAGGAGGTTCCAGTAGGGAGCACATGAAGTGGGCACCGCACTATAGGGCAAGGGCTTTGGAATCAGGCACTCTTGGGCTGGAATCCTAACTTTTTCACTTCCTAGATGTGTGGCTACCAGTTGTTGTTTACATTTTGAGCCTCCATTTTCTCTTTTAATAAGGAGATGATGATACCTCCTTAATGGAGCTGTTGTGAAGATAAAACAAGACAACACATAATGCAACCCATTTGTCGCTATCCCTGGATGGAGCTTTTGTGTTCACCAGGGTGCCAACTTTGAAGCAGAACTTGGCTGCTTACCTTTAGTAGAAAGAAACCACTCCAAAACACTGGTGAACAATGTGTATTTTACTAAATATATTGGGGGAAAGTTAGAGGCAGTCATTCACACAGCACAGGATATAGCATTTCCTGCCCAAACTTGCAACTAGCTATCTCTTGCCAAGTGGGCAGAGACTGCTCAGTGTGTCACTACATCCATTTGGCCTTTCTTCCTTTTAGCAACAGAAGCCTCCAAGTTTTAGCTGAGAACATGGCTGCCTCCAAGTTTTAGCTGAGAACATGGCTGCGCAGCTAGAGATGACGTATTCCAGTTCCCTTGCATCCAGGTGTGACCAAGGAACCAAGTCAGGCCCATGGGGATGAACAGTGATGTGTGCAATTGCCCTGTCATCTTCTCAGAGCTAAAGCTGCTCATCTTGCACTCTTTTCCATTTCCTGTGGTCTAAAGAATACTGACAAACAACATTAGAAGTTTAGAGTTCCCAACTAGTCATCCTTGAACTGTTAAGTGCTAGCAAAATAAGCAATCTCATTTAAGCCACTACATGGTGAGATGTTTTTGTTAGAGCAACATGATCTGCTCTCTCATCACGCACAGACCGGTTCTCAGTTTCAGATCTTTTTCCTCCTTGTCCCCAGGGCCTGCGTTTCCAGGCTAGTCTCCCACTTCCTGCACCTAATGCCTCCATTCACTCCCTCTTGTTCCCTTTCTTGTGCAGCTCAATTTAACTTTTATCCATCCCTTCCAAACGTCATTCCCCACACGTCATTCTTTTCAGTTCACAAGGGACCCTCCAGTCACTGAGGTCTATCTTCTTTAGATGGTAGAAGAGAATTTTAAATCACAAATAAACTACTGTGTAACAGGTGCTCGATGCTGGGTTCCTCCATTTCCCATTTAGCCCTGTGCCTTCTCCAGGAGTCGATATTAGAACTGGAAAGATTTAAAGTACTGTGGTACTAGAACTGTGCTGTAGATAAAAACTGAGCCATGGGAAGGATCCAGATCAATCATAACCTGAGCCAAGTTCAGACACCCTAGGAATGTGTTGGGTGAAAGAGAACCTTCTTGGAGAATCCCCAAACCTGATTGCTGATCTGAAGATTAAAAATATGTAGATTCCAGGGTCCCACTACTGGAAAGTCTGATTTTATAGGTTTGCTGTAGGGTCAGCAAATCAGTATTGTTAGCGTATATCTCAGGTAATTTTGATGTAGCCATTTAGCTGGTGCATGAACTGACTAAAATCTCAGTCTAGGACTTGGCAAAAATCCAGTTAAGGAGAGGCAAATGACAGGTAATGTTCATTTCCACTACTCCCCACCCCAACTCTCAGCTCCCCTGATAACACTAGACAAGATTAAACTGATAATTCAGCCATGGAATAAGGAGCCTTAAACGTTTCCAACTACTTCAAACTATGGGTCAGATTCCACTCTCAAGTTCAGCCATGTATGGCCAAGGACTATAAGGGGCTTTGAGCACATCCAAGTCAGCATGACAATTTGGCTTGGTACACATATAGAAATTGCCAATGAAAGACAGAGGGAGAATAACAGGAAATGGGAACACATCTGTTTGAAGGCCCAGCTACCTGATGTGTTAGCTTTGGCAACCCTTGTACACTTTGTCCTGCCAGTGAAGCTGCTGTCAGGGAAATTGAAACACTGACCTCATACGGCTGGGATCAGCACCAGTAATGCCTCTATACATATTAGGCTTTCAAAACAGTTTTGGGGGTTGATCTGGGGCTCAACTTGGCAGCCCTAAGCCATACAGATCATTACCTATAATGGGAATTATGCATGTTTATTATTGAGCTGATTTATTTTGAAAATGTTCATGGCCTAGGGCTCTAAAACTTGCATACAGAAAATAAATTCAACATTTAAATGAAAAGCAGCAACTTCCAAACAGAAAAATAGGTGGTAGAATTTCATATTCCAAACCTTATGCCTCAAATGCTGAAGGTCAGAAGAATGTTTTAGAGGGAAAAGTACTGGGGAATCAGAGGTGAGGAAACAGCCTTTGAAAGCTTTCTCTTCCATCCTCTGCAAGGAGAAGGATGCCCTACAAGTCATGTGTCATTGCTCACTGTCTCCCTCACACGCAGGATCCAGGAGGAGGCTGCAGAGCCAATGTTTAGAGAACCTTCGCTACAGGACCAGATACGTGGGATTTTATCCTCTTTGTACACTTTAGTTTTAAGGAACATAAGGAGACACCATTTATAATGTAAAAAGTCTGGGATTTAATTACATTTAACTTAATGAAAGAGCTTGTACAACCTTCTGGCACTACTTTTGGGCATAGTTGTGAATATTGAGCTGGCATGTGAACAAGAGCTATTAATAAAAAGGCTCATCCTCTAGATTAGCACATTGGATTATGTGATTTTCCAAGTTGTCAGACACGAAGAAGAAATTATTTGCTCTTGTTTTGACAGAAATATGCTCAAGCCTTTAGGATTATCTTCCAGGCCTCAAATGTTCAGAGAATCTCAACCCCTCTTGACCCAATGGGTCAAGAGATCCATGTCAATTCAAATTACCCTATTATTCCCTTTTTGTGAAAATTTATTTATATTCTATATGTCTGATGACCATTTCTCTGGACAATTCTATAATAAGAACTTTCTCATCTTTATCTCATTGCTGTTCTTTCTCTGCTCTCCCCCATGTACCTCATCCCCTAGCAAGTTTCTAACAATAATGTTTATTGAACCCCTACTTTGCATCAGGTTTTGAACTTGGTGCTCACACACACCTCCAAACACCCCTAAGTAAGTGATATTATTCCCATTTTACAGATGAAGAAATTATTACTCAGAAAGGATATGGATATAACTTGATCAAAATAATGAAACTAGACTGTGTCCAAGCTAGAATTTGAATCTATGTCTTCAAGTCCAAACCAGTGATATTTCCATTGTGTTACTCTGCTTTGCTATCTTTGTAAGTAAGCACTTGGAATTTAAGCATATGTACTTTTGAAACAAAGGAATTCCAGAGCATATATTATGCTATCTGAATTCAACTTGGTAGAATGTCATTTGATTAAAGGATTGGGATATACAGACCATAGAGTAGAGTATTAAATCAAGTCATTTTGTTTTATATCAATTAAGGAGTTTCAGGGATAAGAACTCTAGGAGGTCTGAACCTGCAGAGCATGCTCAGTTCCTAGGGGACAAGGACATGAAATAAAGGACATTTTCTTATCTTTATAAACTGGCACCCATGTTAACATGGTCTTGGAAATCCATGTTATGATGGAGTCTCTCAGGTAATATTACTTCCAGTTGTAAATTTAATTTAATGGAAAAAGAAATAAATCTGTATTTATAAATATACTATTGAGTTCTTGCTCTGACTCTTAAAAGTTACATAGATTTGGCAAATCTCAATCTCTCTAAGCTACTGCCCAGTTACCTATAAAATGGGCATTATACTACTAGCCAGGCCAACACTCCTATCCATGTTCAATGCTAGATTATATGCTCTTTGGATTAGGGCCAAGTTCTGTGTGTCTTGAAGAGTACTTAGCACAATAGAGGGGTCCATTCTCTATTGAACTGATGAAGTTAAAATATGCTGGTGGATAGGAAAGTAACTTGGAAACTATAAAAGGAACTGAACTAATTTTTTTCCTTAAAAAAATAAACTTTTTATTTTAGGACAGTTTTAGATTTAAAAATTGTGAGGGTAATACATAGAGTTCCCAGTTTCTCCTATTACTAACATTTTATGTCAGTATGGCACATTTGTTACAATTAATGAACCAGTATCAAAACATTATTATTAATTTATAAAGTTCATACTTCATTCATATTTTCTTAGTCTTTATATAATGCCCTTTTTCTTGTTCCTTGTTCTAGGATCTCATCCATAGTTCCACATAACATTGAGCCATCAAGAGTCTTTAGGTTCCTTTTGACAGTGACAATTTCTCAGACTTTGCTTGTTTTTGATGACCTTGACAGTTTTAGGCAGTACTGAGTATTTTGTAGACTGTCTCTCCATTGGAATTTGGGCATTTGTTGTGATTAGATTAGGGTTATGTGGTTGGGGGAGGAAGACCACAGAGATAAAGCACCATCTTCATCACATCATATCAAAGGTACACACGATCAATATGACTTATCTTTGTTGGTGTTAACCTTGATCACCTAATGGCTAATGTAGTGTTCGTCAGGATTCATCCCTGTAAAGTTACTTTTTTTTTTTTTTTTTTTTACCCCCTTTCCATATAGTATTCTTTGGAAGGAAGTCACTATGAGCAGCCCATACCTAAGTAGAGGGGGTGTTATGTTCCATCTCCTTGAGGGTGGAGTAACTACATAATTTATTTGGAATTCTTCTTCATGGGATATTTGCCAATTCTCCCCACCTGTTTAGTTATTCAATCATTTATTCATATCCGTATGGACTATGGATATTTATTTTATACTTTGGGCTATGATCCAGTACTATTTTATTTTGTTACTCAAATGTAATTATTAACTTTACTATTAATAACATTACCAGGCAGAATCCATAGTGGACTAGTATTCTAGTATTCTGACTCTTGAAATTCTATTCAAGAGTCAGAAAGGTGACTGTGAGGTTCAGGACTTGTGTCTGTTCTGCTCACCTCTGTACTCTCAGAGCCTGGTTCTTGGCTCATGTTATGTGCCTTGTAAATACTTCCTGAATTAATATCTGAAATATAGTATTGACTTAAAAGTGTCATTGATTATAAAGATCATGGGTAAACAGATTTGTTGCTGCAGGATTTATATCCAGGATCACAAAAGCTTGGTAGCCATGGAAACAACTTGCAAATTTATCACTGGACTCCTGAATGTCCTTTTCCACCCACACCACACACACTATACCATAATCAGAGCCAGAGCAGAAAATGCTACTCTTCGGGGAACTCCCACTATGGGTGTCACAGAGAAACATCACATGTAACATTGAGAAGCCTCGTGTATTCCATGAAATTCCCTGTTAACACAAAATGGCCATCACGGTTCCCCCCAGCCAGACCCTGAAGTGGAGTGCAGTCACACAGCTGAGACAGCAAGCCCTCGGTGACAAGAAAGCAAAACCCTGCTTCTTATCTGCCTTCAAAGCTCCCTTCACTTATCAGCTACAAGCACTCAGTTTGAGTTTGGAGAGGGAGACTTTGACTGTGTACCCTGCCATGTTCAGTTAGAGAGTGAATCTTGAAATTCCAACTGGTGTCAGCCAGAGCAACACAGGCAGGAAGTTGGGGGGGTCAGTCCCTCTGGTGGTTCTCCACCACGGGTATTTGTCTGTAACCAGGGATGAGTCCAAACGCTGGCTTTAATTTATAGTGTCTGGCAGTTTCTACGGCTGGGATCTTAGCCAAAGACAAGTTCTCTCCCTCTGTCTTTATCCAACTCATTTCTCAGTTAATATTTTGAAGTATTCTTCATGAATCCCA